TGCTGCATTTAACCACTGCGCCACCTTGGCTCTTAGGAGTACAAAAGGGGACTAGCAATGAACAAATGGGATCCCCAACCGCAGGGGCAATGGCTGAAACCACGGGGGCTACTGATGAACTCATTTCCACCATGGAACATCCGCTCAGGAGACAACTCAATGCAAAGCAAGGCTTGCGACTCGATGAGAGGAGGCTTCCACCATCAGAATAGAAGGCATCCCCACTTGGCATCAAATTCGATAGCAATCCCCAGCAACTAGGTTTTTTTCTCACACATGTACTGATTTACATGCAGGAGTATGGGATCTCCCTACAGCAGGAGCCAAAGTCAGGGTTGTCACCTTGACTCTAGGAGGATCAGCTGCACATTGGATGGTGAGCCTCCATAATGCAGATGCACCAGAGCTCCACAACTTCAATTGTTTCAAGACAGCCCTGAGACAGAGATTTGACCTCCTAGCTGATCGCAAGGTTAGAGACCACATAAGGCACATTAAACAGGGACGCCGTCCAGTCACCGAGTACATCGAAGAGTTTCATGATCCGACTTGCCACATAGATTGGCCAGAGGAAATGCTCATGAGTTGGTTCAAATATGGCTTAAACGATGACCTGTACAATGCCTTCTTTGATTGTGGAGCCCCAATCTGCCTGCACAGCTGGTGAGTTGAGGAAGTGGAAATCAACCAAGCTCGAAACCAGTACCAAGAAAATCACTCCTGGAACAGATTCCCAGCAGAAGGGAGAAGGAAGGAAACCAAACCACGCTCTGCCCTGCCGCACTCAGCCACCTGCTTCCATTGAAGGAAGGTCATTGTGCAACAAGTGCCATGTGAGAATGTCCACCCAAAAGGGAAAGAAGCAGGTCAAAGCCACCACTGTGTTCCAAATATATCTCCCTAAAGACCCATGCAGTCTTTGAGTTCCCACCAGAACCAATTACAGTGTGAGGAACTCTGACCCCTCTGGTGAAGGAACCCAGTCACTTGGAGAGCGACTATGAAGACCCTTTAGTGAGTGAGGTTTTCTGGCTTCCGTTGGGCCCGGTAGGTCTGTTTTTCGCCCTCCCCAGGCTCCTAGAAAGCCTCTGGAGCCTGGGGAGGGCAAAATATGGCCCAACACACACAAACCAGAAGTTCAGGAACAAGCTTCCGGTTTGCATGTTGGGCAGATTTTTGCCCTCCGGAGACTTCAGGGAAGCCTCTGGAGGGTGAAAAACAGCTGAAAATCAAGACCAAAAATCACCTGGCCAGTGCACGAATGCGCACTGAAGCTGATAGGGCAATGCTTTATGTGCCCTCAGAAATGGCTCCACATGCCATCTGTGGCAAGCATGTCATAGGTTCGCCATCATGGCCCTACCCTTAATGAAAGACATGCTGTCTCCTGGCAAAGGGGAGACTTTTTTTTCTAAACTAGACTTGTGGGATGCTTATTACCAGATCTGGATCTGAGAAGGGGATGAGTGGAAAACAGTGTTTAATTGTCTGCTAGGATGTTTTCAGTTCAAGGTTTTGCCATTCAGACTCCAAGGGGCTGCCGCTGTTNCTCACAATTCCACATCAGATATTATAGTGGGGGCAGCATCCAGACTGCCTGTAGAAAGATCTTGGATAAAGGTGATTCAACCTGAAAGAAGAGATCTAAGTTTATTAAAAAAAAGATATCACTCGTGAAAGAAAGAAAGAAAGAAAGAAAGAAAGAAAGAAAGAGAGAAGGTTGGAAGGAGGGAGGAAGAAAGAAAGAAAAATAGAACATTTCTGCAAAGCATTGTCATTTTTATTTTTATTTTGCAATTGGTGGTTTCATTGATTAACTTCCCTTTACAATCCCAGATTATAAACCATCAACTCTGTGGGGAGGTCTTTGCAATAGAGCTCGAAATTAGCTATTTTTGAACAAATCCAAGATTGTTGGCCTTTGTGCATTGAGACTGAATCTTTAGCCCCATTTGGAGAGGCTTCAACTCCATCTTACTTGATGCCTGACTCAGTGGCTTTTTGAGTTTGATCTTACTTTGGGGAAACATTATTTCCTGGACAAATTTTAATATGGTAGCTCAGCATATAGAAAAATAAAAATGAAGTTTCAAGTCATATTATTGCAATTTTATTGGTGACTGTATACCACAGATTTCTTCATAGCATCCAGGATGCTTTTGATTTCCCAATCCTACTTAGCAAGGCCAGTGATTATTGCTACCAAATGAGGTTCTGCAATATTTATTGATTCATTTATATCCCACTATTATTTTTACAAATAACTCAAGGCAATGGATGCATCCAAAACCTCTTCCTCCTTCTATTTCCCCCATAACAACAACACTGTAAGGTGGGTTGGACTGAGAGAGAATGAGTGGCTCAGGGTCACGCAGTTGGCTTTCATGCCTAAGACAGCTCCACTTGAGGTTGTGAGGTTGATCTTTCTTCCTCAGCTTCTTTCTGGATCCTGAGGGTTGAGCATCTACCTTCCAGAGCACAGGTGGGTAATGTCATGGCATAAGAGTATGTGTGAATGACCTTGGAAGATGGGGGGGGGGAAGAGACACTGCCTATGGGACGATCAGATAAGGGGGAGAAGAACCCAAAGATGCCCAACAGACAGAGAAAAACCCTCAGTCAACTCAGATCCCTGACACCGCCCTAACTCATCAGGCTACAAAAAGAGATGGTGATAGGTTTATACTTTTAGACTTGTAAAATTCTGTTAATGCAACCTTAAGTAAAATTGAATTAGCTCATCCACACTGTTTTTTTTGTCTGGTCTACTTGGGAAGGCTGACATGTGACTTCACCTTGTTCAGAAAGCTCCAGAAATCCAGACTTACTGCCTGATTGCCATTCTCCACCTGGGCATCGTCTCCACTATGTGAAGGTGTTTTAGATGTTTTTTTTCCACCCTGAAGGCCAAGACATCTGTCATCTCATGGTTGTCTGGCCTGTAACTTCTCTTCCTCTTGCATCCCAAGGTTCTTCTCACAGACCATTACAGTAGATAATGCAAGGGAGACATTTATGATTCTTTCTTTCTTTCCTTCCTATTGGCCTGCCTGCAGTACGTCGTTCCAAGGCGGCAGATGAAGAAAGGAGCCACAAGGCTCGCCAAGCTCGTGATGAGTATCAGAGGCACTCCTTACGGGCCATCCGTAAAGGAAAAGTGGCTGATCTAAGCAGCATGTTCCAGGCAGCTGGTTTGAATATCGAACAAGAAACCAAACTGGCCAATTCTTGCACCATCCCATCCTTGAATGTGGTGACACCAATCAGGTTGGTTTGTATTCTGATAAAGGAAAGTTGAATTTAGAATTGATTTCCCTATTGTATTCAAAATGGTTGTATGGAATGGTTTTCCAATAAAAGGGGATTTCGGCTGAATAGTAGGAGAACTGCTGAGAAAGTAAGAGCTCAAAAGCTGAACAATTGGGAAGATCCTCTTTACTGACTGTTTTCAATTGGGGCTGGATAGTCAAAATCAGGAACAGATACATGGAGTGAAGGGTTAAAAAATGGAATATCACCATACTCCATGATTGTGATCCTCATAGCTATAGGAGATCCCCAACTAAACCTACTCCAGGAATGGAGAATTGGAGTCCATTCAGTCACTAAGTCATGTCCGGCTCTTTGTGACCCCACGGACCATACCACACCTGGTTCTCCACTGTTTACTGGAGTTTGCCCAAATTCATGTTCATTGCATTGATTTACAGAGTTATAGACAATGAAGACCTGGTGCTGGATAACCAGTAGTGTGGATAGTGAAGGACAGAACAGGACAGAGCTGGAAGGGACTTTGGAGGTCTTCTAGTTCAGCAGGAGAACCTATACCTGTGATGGCTAACCCTTTTGTCCTTGTGTGNCTAAGATTCCAAAACATACCGGAAGAGAAGGAGGAAGACCTGAAAGGAAAAATGACCGTCAGCATCTGGTTAGAATTAGATAAGGGTGAATGATATTCCAGGAGGATTGGAGTTGGAGTTTGCTTGTGGCTACATAGGGGTTTCTAGGTTGATTCATCTTTTCACTCCACCCCCATGTTCTGCCATGTCTTCTCCTACAGCTATATAGAATTAGATTGACTTTTAATAACTCTGGTTACTCCTTATTCCTTTTCTATTTCCTAGCTATGTGTCTTTGCTTCCCATGAGATCAATGAACAGCGTCATTTTTGACTCTCCAACATTTCTATGGAGTACAGGGAAGCACTGCAGTTGGAAACTCAGGGGAGGCTAAAACATTCCTTCTTCATCTGGAATCTCATTTGTGCTCACTGGAAATGTTCACATAAAAGTGTATATATGAGAGAGGAGGTGGAGGAGGAGGAGGAGAAGGAGGAGAAGAAGGAGGAGGAGGAGGAAAAGGAGGAGGAGGAGGAGGAGGAGGAAGAGGAGGAGAGAAGAAAGCAAAGGAAAGGAGAGCAAGAGGGAATTATAATCTGCTTGTAAGACTCATATCTCAATGGGACTCACTGGGTAATTTTGATCCAGTCAGTTCTTCTCCATCCAATCCATTTCTCAGAGCTGAGTAAGAAGAATGAGAAAAGACATCCAAGAAGGTTGCTTTGAGCTCTCAGATGAAAGATGGGGCTATCATTGTGAAGGCTCATCAAGTCAGACACAATCATTTCAGACGTAATCAATATTAGCCATGATCTGCTTAAGTTTTCATTGGCAACCTCATATTTTTTCAAGAGTCAGGTTTTGCTTTATGGCTGAAGACAATCATACCATGCAATATTTGCAGCTAAATACAGTTTGAATCCAAATTATTTGTTGTAAGTGCAACTCAGTCCCAATTAGCTACAGACCAATGACTATTAACAAGCAAGCAGCTGGAGGAAATGATAAAAAAGGAAATGCTTATTAAAGGACCTCTTTATGATATGTTTCACTGTGACTCGCAGCTCTTCAAAACAGTAAATGGAACCCTAACATATGAACATTTTCTAATCTGTCCCAAATGATGCCGTTTTTCTCAAATTCAGCCCCAAGAGCAGGAATTCATTGATGTCTTTATATTAAAAAATGCTGTTGGATATCACATCAAAGCAGTTCATAAAATTTGCTGTTAAACGAAACTAGAGCAATAAAATGTTTATGCGCTTTTTTAATGCAGTGCTTCATTTTGGACATGGAGAACCAAAAATGAAGGAGAAAGAATTTATCCAATTTTTATTTTCTAAACATTTAGAGAAGTTTAGGATGAGTGTCTTAAAGGTGCTTTTGCAAGAGGCAACTGAACTTTCTGTTTTTTCTTTGAAGACATTTTGCTTCTCATCCAAGAAGCTTCTTCAGCTCTCTTGATGAGAAGTGAAACGCGAGAAGCTCTCTTCTTGGATGAAAAGTGAAACATCTCCAAAGAAAAATTAAAAAGTCCAGTTGCCTCTTGAACATGCACCTTTGGGACAACCATGACCTGAATGACTGAGGGTCTCCACAGACATAGATTGAGTAATAGTTCTGCCAAGAAAAACATTTGAACTCACAATTCCACATCAGATATTATAGTGGGGGCAGCATCCAGACTGCCTGTAGAAAGATCTTGGATAAAGGTGATTCAACCTGAAAGAAGAGATCTAAGTTTATTAAAAAAAAGATATCACTCGTGAAAGAAAGAAAGAAAGAAAGAAAGAAAGAAAGANTTGTTACATTTTTAAAAAGCTTTGAGAAATCCCAGTATCACTTTTATCTGATTTATATGAAAATATGCTTGTTGAATCATTCAGGGTGGGGTTCCCTAACTGGATGCCTACAAGAGATGTTGGACTCTAACTGCCATAATTCCTATTCCATCACTTTTGGAGAGATGCAGATTGATAAAAGGTATCTAGGAGTGGGCATCCAGGTTGATGGAGCATCCAGGAGAAAATTTCCAGGTTGATGAAAGGTATCCATAAGATGGTATCTGGGTTAATGAGGGGCTTTCAGGTGGTTTCCAGATTGATGAAGGCTATCAGGTTGATGAAGAATATCTAGGAAAAGGTTTCCAGGTTGATGAAGGATACCCAAAACCTGGAATCTAAATTGTTGATAAAGGCTATCCAGGTGGATGAAGGATATCCAAAAGCTGGAATCCAGGTTGATGAAGGATTTTCAAGAGAGGTTATCCATATTGATGAAATTGTGTCTTGCTTTTGGCATAATTCTTGCCCACACCTACTTTAGTTAGCATCTCTGGACAATGTCTGATCCAAGTTTATGCCTTCACACAACCCAAGAGATGATCCCTGATTCTTCCTATGTCCTTCCTCTTCCCCTTCAGTCTACAGCAATGCTAACCTGGCTTTTCTCAACCAAACTTGGCAGCCAAAAAGATGCAGAGATGTTAGTGTGGACCTTAATTTGCTACTTTGTGCTGTCAGTAGAAGCCCAATTTATCCATGAGGGGCAGAGCTGGCCCCATCAGGTTTTTCAGTTTTCAAGTCAGTTGCTCTGCTCAGCACTGCCAGGGGTCAGAAGGGGTGGTGTTGGACTGAGTGCAGCTGCTGTGAGCAGTGAATGTTGCAGGGATATTGATGGTGCAACTAATTTAGTTAGTGGATAGAATTTCTAAATGAATGAGGATTCATCTCGTCCCAATGCTACTGACTGCCAAGTCAATAGGCGAAGCGTTACTAATTTTGGTGTTCTGCTTAATTCACTGCTGTGGTTCTTTTTTTTGCTGAGCCAAACAAGTAATAACATTGCTTACTTCTAGGTAATTGAGATAAACCCTTTAATCCTCTTTTTTTTTTAAAAAACCCCAACTTTTTAAAATGCAGAAACAAGCTCTCTTCTGACTTTCCATCTGAGAACTCCAACTTATTTCAAAATAAGGTGGAGTTCAAAATAAGATCTATCTGGTCCATTACATGGACAGTGGCCCAGTCAGTTACCTTGGCTTTCTCCAAGCGGGTGTGATAACTCTGGTGGCCTTTTTCTTCTTGCTTAACTTAGGATCTAAACTTCAGGGAAATTGCATTCTGTGAATGCAATGAAAATTCAATTTAGCTGTCACAACTAATAACCACAGAAAAAGCTGCCTTCCATGAATTAATCTACCCCCCCCCCTTTAAAAAAAAAGCAAATGAAATTTGAATGTTTGAGAAGGGAGAAAATGTTTCCTCTTTCCCTTGTCTGTTTATAAATATCTCTACTGCTGTTTCACCACAACCAATTTGCTTCTTCTAAACAATTATGCAGACAAATAGAAATAAAATTCTTATCATCTTTATATTGTCTTCAAAAGTTCTTTCTGCGGCAGCAACCTTTTCCCCCCAGGAGTTCAAAGTCACCTGCGTAGTGTCTTCTTCTCTCCTATGGGGCAAGTAGAAAATGGATGGAAACTAATCAAGGAAAGAACCAATCTAGAACTAAGGAGAACAATTAATCAGTGGAATGACTTGCCTGCAGACATTGTGGGTGCTCCATCAAGGAGAGATTGGAAAACCATTTGTCTGGGATGGAGTGAGTCATGCTTGAGCAGGAGATTGGGCTAGAAGACCTCAAGAGTCCCTTCCATCTCTGTTATTCTGTTTAAAATAATTAGCTCAAAGTTTTCTAGTGAGCTTCTGTAGCTAAGGAGGGATATCCTCAATGCAGTTGATATTTTTAATTCCAACTTACTTATCAGTGAGGTGATACTGATGCTGGGATCACAAAAGGCCAAAGCTTGCATTTAGGCAATGTGTTCTGAACATGGAAGGCCAAAATAGGCCTCTTTTTTTGTAAAATTAAAGCCAGCTCACCTCTTAATTGCAATCAGTTCCTAAACAGATACTTTGGTTTATTAATTCAGGTGCTGGATTGGAAGACTGTCTCTCAAGTCAGACTACCTCATAAGTTTTTGTGAGAAATTAGGAGTTTGGCACATTGTGTACTCATCTTGAACTGTAAAAAAATGAAGTTAGGAGATGATGATGGGACTTCCTGTGGTGACGTCACTGTGCTTGGAGCTGAGGAACGGGAGTTCTCCTAACCTCTAACTCTAACTTTTTCATTTGGGCTCATTTTTTAGCACTGTGGATCCTGAAGGGACCAGCAGATTAAGGGGGAAACTCTGAAGACACTGGGGTGATAAGGCAAATCCAACATCGGGTAGGAGAAACCCACTAAACGGACGAGGATCTATCCTGCCACTTGGTCAGGACCGGAACAATGGCAACTGCATAAGAAGGAAGCAGAGAGAGAAAGCAGTTGAAATTGAAACATCTGTTACTATTATTGACAACCCAAAGAAGAAGAGGACAATGTGAAATTGGCAGAGAGGGTGAGCTGGAAAGAAAGACACTCTGGGAAGCAGACTGTTTTTGCAGTTTAGATTTTTGCCGAAAAGTAGTGAGAGCATAGACACTGAGTTGGAATTGACAGCCTGAATAACTTGAAGGAAAGTGACCACAGTGAGAACGAAAACCCGGCATGGACAACAGGAGTAGGACGTATTAACTGCTGAGAAGTCTTGGAAAGCACAGAAGGATTGTTCAACAGTCGGGTTGGTTGTTGACTTTTTTCTTCTTGCTCTTCCTTCTACTGTTTTATTTTTCCCAAAGAATAGTTGAACTTACCCACCCCCCTTTGTTTTCCTTTGCCGCTGGACTTGTTGTATTAACTGATTGACACTAACAGTGATACTGAGGAGAGGGTGACACCTAGTGGATTATAAATTTGAACCAGGAAGTCTGATGCAAGAAAACCAACGGTGACATAAGCTGATATATATACATAGAGAGAAACTAGTTACTAGAATTGACTACCTGTATAACTGATTCAATTGAGAGACATCTATTTGTATAAGATAACAGTGTGATATATAACCAGTGACGTGCGGTGAGGTTTATGGTTGGTGAGGCACTGACACAAGGGTTTCAAATTTTTTTAGACTTGTGGACTTCAACTCCC